AAAAAAAAGACATTCTGTATGTATTTAAAAAAATAATAATAATACAGTGAATGGAGGTGAGACAGCTTCTCAAAATATTGACACTCTTCTTTTTCTTCCCTGTTTCCACTCCCTGTGGCAACTTGCTTCTTCCATGACAATCATGCGCCCTTTTTTTTTATGGTTTAGAGCAGGGGTCGCCAACCGCCGGGCTACTGGTCCGCAGGTCATTTGGTGCTGGGCCGCACAGAAAGAATACATACCTTACATTCCTTCCGTTTTATTCATTTCGGAATCTGAAAGATGTTTTATTTTGAAAAATTACCTGATTCTCTATTATATCAGTCTACAGTATGTCACTCTTGACGCAGGTGAATGTGTGCTTCTCGGTAACGTGATAGGAAATGAAACCCAGGAGCTAGCAAAATGAATAAAAAACAAACCACTTTGAAAATTTTTTTCAGGAAGGGGAAAAGGCCCAGCCAGGAGACAGAAGAGAAGCCTATGACTTTCAAGAAAGCGAAGGCTACATTTAATAGACAGTATCAGGAGTCCTATTTCAAATACGGCTTTACCTCAACGGGAGATTCACACACACCAAGCCTACTCTACATAATAAGCGGCGATGGTGAATCGTATTTTTCATGCACTTTTTTTGCGGCGTATCTTATTTTGAAGGCATGTTTCAACGTTACCATAGCGACCAGAGAATGTTGCGGCCAGATAGGACGTTCCTTGTGTCATGATTCGTGTTTATTATGTTTCGAAAATACCACATTTTTCATGCAGGTCATATCATATTATTTTGTTGTATCTATCTGGCCTTAAAGGTCGGTCCCTGAAAATATTGTCTAACATGAAACCGGTCCGTGGGGCAAAAAAGGTTGGGGACCTAAACCTCTGGTTTAGAGGACCTATCTTGTCAAAGGTTCCATTTTTTAACTAAAAAGCTCACATCATGTCACTTCATTTTAGCTCAGACAAAGTAAACTGGAATCTCATTTTCATTCATAATAGCGGGCTATTAAAATATTAATTGCAAAATGCACAAAAAAGTAGTCAAATTGAGGGGTGATGATGATCATCTTTGTCCCATCTGTCCCCACCTTGACTTTTATAGTTTGAATGATATTTTATGGGAAATTCACATTTATTCACTTCTTCTTCACTCCCAGCGAACCATTCATGTTCTAAAGGCTCACTGTCCACTCTTCATTTTAGTGACTGCAACAGACCAGTGAAAATGTTCAGCCTAATTCTGTCCCAAATATTGACCCTCCATTTTCAGGAATTAAATCCAAACTGTTCGAAGTTAAAACACATCCGCATTTGTCAGTTGATTACATCTCACCTCAGCCCCAGCTGCCATGGCCTCCAAGGTCCAGCCGTGCTGTGGGACAAATTCCAAAGCAGCATTTAGGATTTTAGCTTGAACCTGTTCCTCTGTTTCATACTCCTCATCTTGCTCTCCACCCTGATCCTGGTAACTTGCACACAAATAGGGAAACATTCAATTTCACTCAGGGACCTACCATAAAGATAAGCAAAATTTATAACAAAATAATTTAAACTTAACTCCAAAGCTATCCTACAACGTGCTTTTCATGAATACTTTACATTTCTAGCTGTTGCAGTACTGACCTATGTCTCCCTCTGGTGGACTCATCTGCTAATGGGTTAGCTGCTGAGTCTCCTTGTGAAGCTGTTGCTGGATCTTGACCAGGGGAGTGTGTGTATTTGTTTGATGTGGATTCGTCCTGAAGCCTTAGATGAGCACAGCTAAAGCCTCTTTTGAGACTGGCATGCTGAAGGTTTGATGTTGGTGCCACCACAACTGCAAGGAGCAACGCTGTTAATTGACTACAAGGGATTTATTTCGAGGAGGCCTGACCACAACCTTATTAGCAATGTAAAATTTGGCAAAATGTACACCACAATGACACATCGTAGAAAGGTACAGATGACGACTGACGGAACCCTTTCTACAATGGAACTTTCCTGTACAACTGAGAGCCTCCACAAGAACAATGACACATATAATTCAAGGTTTCCTGTAGTGCATCAGCCTTTTGGGATGCCAGGCATTTCAGACTTCTCTTGCCACTGCCCGCCAGACTATACGTAACTTGTTTAGAACAACTTTTACATGACATGTTACGGAGAGAGAGTCAAAAAACATAAGACACTTTCTTTTTCCAAAGTGTCAAAAGAGCGCTGGAGGTGACAATTAACCCATTTGACAAACGATACTGTGATGAGGCAGAGCAGGGGAGAGTTACCACGGATGTTCAGCATGTCATCGGAGCAGCCTTCTGCGAGCCGCAATGGTTAACATCGAACTAGCTCTTACTCGCCGCTGTGTGAGTTTGGGCACTCACACGTGTGCATATACACTAGGGGTGGAACAGCTCTCAAAACTTGTTTAAATGGTTCGGTTAGACTGTATAAGTTCGGTTCCCGTGGATTTATTAATGAGGCATAGCACTCAGTCACACTCACAGCCAAGTGGCACTAATGCCAGTCAATGCATTCATTTCAGAGATATCATCGATGGTGCTCTCATTTCATTGCTTGTTTATGCACGATGGGTTCTGCAAACATTCGCTACACATGCTAATACTCCCGACCGGCACCTGATACCCGTTTGGAGTGCCAGATTTGAGAGGGAGAACAGCGTACTGATTCTTGGTCTCTCCAATGCAAGATCTCTGGTGCATCAAGAGATATTACACTTTTCTTGAAATTGTTTTACGTTTATATTAAGACATCAGTAGATCTGCAGCATGTAAGACTTATTTCATAACTTGTTTTATTACAGTTTTTTTTAGGACTGTATTGCTTTGTTGAGTCAAGGTACCTGTTCAACGTTAGAAAATCTCATGGGGAACCAGCAAAGAAAAATACTTTACAGAGTATGACTACTGCTCGCTATAACACTGTTCATCTTTCACGGCTTCGCTGTTTCACTGATCTTGTTTTTTTTTCGTAAACAGGGAACATTTTATTTTGTGCGGTTTCTTCCAACCCTTTCGGGGACAGGGGTTACTAGAGTAGACAGCTATTCAAATGTTGTTTTCTCTTATATTAAATAATCTTAATGTCCCAGTTGTGCATCAACCACAATAATGGACCTTTATGTGTGTTGCCGTCCACTGCCGTTATTTTTTCCCCATGCCTAATAAAAACATTTGAAAAAAAATCTTGATGCAGGTTATCATTATTTGTGCATGAAAGGGTTAATTAGATTGTTGTATTCTGTAATGCCTTACAGTTTAATTTGAATGCCATTACAATATTAAATAAATGTTATATCTGATGACTTGTGTTTTTTTTAGAGAATGGTACACCTTACAAATTCTGTCAAGGTATGTAAGCATCGGAACACAACAATGTTTACGTAAGCTAATTCTGTCCTTCACTATCACCTAAAGTGCCTCGGCCGAGTTGGCTAGCATTATCTTTCGACTACGCACCAAAACAACGCACAGCATATTAATTATTTATAGAGTTCTGTTTTAATTGTGCATAAGCGGAACACAGGATAGTTACCGCTGCAGAGACCCCGAAATGCCCTTCCTGCACGTATCGCTCTCAGTAGCGCCGCCATATCTGTTTTTCGGACAAATAATACGCGTCACTTTTGTGCGACACTGGAGTGAAGATCCTTTTTCAAATATCTTTATTTAATGTATGACAATTACAAAAACAGAGAAACCACATTTTGTATCTATAACGCTGGGGTGGTAGAACAACACAATCAGTAAGAAAACGAAAAAAAGATATACACACACAGCATGGGGAGAAAAAAATTATAAACATTCAAAATATATTGACATAAAAACATTGGACTCAACACAAGAAGAAATAGTTGTGAATGTTTTCTGTTTCAAATAATTCCTAATGGTAGAAATATAATGTTTGAACTAATTAATGAAAACAGAAAAGCTGTGTGTCCTTGCCATAAACTTACATTTAAGGATATGGAATTTTGCCATCATAAAAAGTAAATTAATCAAATAGCCGTTTGATTTTCTCACATTCCCCCCCCCCAAAAAAAAACAAAAAGCACATTCTTCCAAAATAACGCAATGCTTTTTTTCAATATAATTTGTTGTAAAAATGCTTCGTTTACACCATAACGATTCAACTGATGACAGTGCCAAACCACATTAAGTATAGTTTCAAGAGAGTGTAGACTGTAAAGAGAGCAGAAACTACAATTTACCAGTCGTGTTATGTGCATTCTGGCGATGTTGGTTGTTTACTTGGTTTTGTATTTTTCACGCTTCATTGAGGAGTGTTTTGTTGGATTACGGTGGATTTTTATTAATAAAAATATTATATTGATCTTGCAGCGAAAAACAAGTAAAATATATTTCTGTTTGCCTGTCTTCGTCCGTCCGCGCGAGTGCGTGTGTGTTATGTACACATTTCCTTTTATTTGTTGCTCGCTACACGATGTTCATTCGAGAACGAATCTCATCACAGCACCTACTCAGCACGTAAAACCACAACTTCTCACTGACCAACCGATCTCTCGCTCTGTCTTTCTCTCTCTCTCTCGACCAAGACGATCTGATCTATGTCTCTATTTCTATTGGACCAAGATGTTCTGAAAGTGTTGCAATGGCTTTCAATATTTTCTGTTGTTTTGTCCTTGCTTCTGTGCCGCAGGTTAACAAACATGGCCGATCTACTGCGCATGCGCGAGCAGCAGTGATGGGAATTCCGGCTCTTTTCAGAGAACTGGCCCTTATGGCTCGGCTCACTGAAAAGAACCAGCTCATTTGGCTCTCTGACACACATTACTGTGTGTGTGTGTGTGTGTGTGCGTGTGTGTGTGTGTGTGTGTGTGTGTGTGTGTGTGTGTGTTCCCCGTAGAGCTACAAAAAATACAAAGTACAAAAAAACCTTATTAGGGCCCCAGGGCACACAGACAAATATTTGCGCTAAGGGATCACAATGTTCACTCAGCCTACCATGCATGTTTTTGGTGTGTGGTAGGAAACCGGAGTAGGAGAAAACCCACGCAGGGACGCGAAGGACACGCAAACTTCACACAGGAAGCACCCAAAAAGGAGCGTGATCTCGTCGTTCACTTCAAGGAGCCGAGTCAAAGAGCTGTTTCGTTTGCAACCGGCACATGACTAGGGAGCAGCTCGTACAAGGGTATTGGTAGAGGAACCCTCGCGATGCTTTGTGTTTCGTTTTCAACCGACAAGTGACTAACGAGCTGATGGTGCGGAAATCTTGTTAGTTCGAATTAGAGACTTCGAAACCAACGTAAGTCACAGCGTGCCAACGTATCTGTTTAAATTCATACCAGTCACCAGGTTTTTAATAACTCTATAGGATTTACTAGTAACCCCCTACATTGCCTTATGAATTTGTCTTGCACTGCCTCCGGTCTTTTTGTGAACCATGCGGCTTGACTGTGTCAAAACAAAGCGAAATAGTGTGTTACATAAGTTTGTTGTAGGTGACATGACGCAGTAGGAAATATTGAATGAGTAACTGGTGGCAGCAGAGTTAGTTAACCTTGTGTGAGATCAGCGAATATGCTGCGTTTGTTAGAATTTTATGTTGGTTACTGTTTGAAAGATAATTACGATACTCTCAGCTAATTTAGCATAACGACACTAAATCGTCACATTGCTCGTGAATGGCTGTGTTCGTAATCACCTCTTATCCACAATTATGAAGTTGTCATTTGAAAATGTGATCACTTGTAGAGATGACTAGAAATAAAGTCTTACCAACATTTTTTCCTGACATGCGCGGTTAAGTCGTTGATGCTAATTATAGTAACAAGTCCCGCTTTAGTTGGTTGAACATTGGCACATATTTGATAGTTCTGGACTTAAGATATGTTCAAAATTTCTTTGTGACGAGAAAAACAGTTTGCAACCATTCAACAATCGTTTGCAACCTTCTAGGAACCCAGACGAAAAAACATTTGCTCCGTGCACGCACGCGCATACACACGCACGCGCATACACACGCACGCACACACACGCACGCACACACACACACGCATTTTGTAGCAAATAGTCCAAACTTTGTTGTATTTTGTCAAATACCTGTACTGTATGCTGCAGTTTTTGGGCAATATATTGTTGCACTTTGTTGCTTGTGTTGTCACACATGTTAACATACTTGGACGTACATACAGGACATACACCATACTTGTTTCACTGTTCTCATTTAAAAAAAAGTATGGTAACACTGCTTTTGTTCTGTTGATGTTTGGTATGGACTGTCAACATATACAGTTTTTTATATGTACTGTATCTTGTGCTGACCGGGCCCACCTGTCAAATTTAGAAATCAATGTGGGCCCGAGCCAAAAAGTTTGCCCACCCCTGGTTTAGGGGGTTGCATATGCGGTTGTGATGAATACTTTTCTCAGCTTGCCATTAGCTTGATTCAAAAATCAACGTCGTGTTAAGACACCCTGAGATTGCAAAAACCTGGGGACACCACTGCAGTAATCCAAGTTCTTCTTTTGCTTGTCTTCAGTTTGCCAGCTTTCATGTGCATCATCCTTAGAAGAGGCTTCCTTCTGGCACAAAAGCCATGGATAAGAAGCAGAACTATGCCTATTTTCAAAATGTTCTGGATGTGGTGTTGAGCACCGGAAGCAGACAGGAAAGGCGGTGCCTTGGTTTCAACTCTCAGTCTTAAAGGAAAAAGCCTCTTTTCACGGGTAGTTACCAGTAAATGTACAGTAAAGTCTAATTTCTATGCCATTTGTTCCAAAAATTCTCTCTGCAATTGCAGATTTTTTTTCAGAATAATACATCTCATGACAGGTAAATCTCTCAAGGTTTTTTTGACTGTGAGACATATTTTTGATCCAAATTTTGGTTTAACTCTAATTGTACAACGGTTCTAACATCACAGTAACCAGTATTGGTTGGTAATCTCCAACTATACTCACCTGTGTCACTGACATCAAGCCTGATAACTTGAGAGCGGATGTCAGCTTCTCAGCAGTCCTCACACTCTGTGCGTCAACTCCTGAAGCAAAACGAGAGAGAATCTGAATACATTGAGAATGGGAAACTGATCGCACACATCAAAATAAGTGAATCCATTTTATAAATGGGGTAGTTGTCATTTGTTTTCTTTTTGATATTTATTGTCAATTAGGGATGCGTGAGTATCGATACCAGGCATAGGTACTGTATTGGGCCGATACTAGCCATGGTGTTGACAACTTGCCAAGTCTGCTGATTCTAGTCACCATTACTTGTGCCTATTACGATTTACAAACCCAATTCCAATGAATTTGGCTCGTTGTGTTATACATAAAAACAGAATACAGTGATCCTCACTATATCGCGCCTTCATTTATCGCGGCTTCATGTGCTCCTGAGTTCATGTTGGTGATCAGTTTGAATCCATTGTTATTTATTGATTTTATCTACTGGTAATTTTATTTTTCAGTATCGTATGGTTTGACATGGTCCGTCAAAAAATATTTATCGTTAATTTAAGGATTTAATTTTACTTTTGAACCACACACACACACACACACACACACACTAATCTGCAATCGCAGAGAGAATTTTTGGAACAAATGGTATAGAAATTAGACTTTACTGTACATTTACTGGTAACTACCCGTGAAAAGAGGCTTTTTCCTTTCAGGCTGAGAGTTGAAACCAAGGCGGTGCTTTCCTGTCTGCTTCCGGTGCTCAACATCACATCCAGAACATTTTGAAAATAGGCATAGTTCTGCTTCTTATCCATGGCTTTTGTGCCAGAAGGAAGCCTCTTCTAAGGATGATGCACATGAAAGCTGGCAAACTGAAGACAAGCAAAAGAAGAACTTGGATTACTGCAGTGGTTCTCAAATAGTGGGGTGCGTCCATTTGCAATCTCAGGGTGTCTTAACACGACGTTGATTTTTGAATCAAGCTAATGGCAAGCTGAGAAAAGTATTCATCACAACCGCATATGCAACCCTTTTTTACTGTCCTAGAATAACGTGCAATTGCACCTCGACTACGTTAGGGGGCAGTGCCGCTCACCTTGGCAGAGTGGGCAGGGAGCATTTGCTCGGTGTTTTGTTCGCACTGAGCATGCGCGCTTTGCACACGGCATGGAGTATGAGTAGGAAGTGTTGACACAATTGGGTTTGTAAATCGTAATAGCCACAAGTAATGGTGACTAGAATCAGCAGACTTGGCAAGTTGTCAACACCATGGCTAGTATCGGCCCAATACAGTACCTATGCCTGGTATCGATACTCACGCATCCCTAATTGACAATAAATATCAAAAAGAAAACAAATGACAACTACCCCATTTATAAAATGGATTCACTTATTTTGATGTGTGCGATCAGTTTCCCATTCTCAATGTATTCAGATTCTCTCTCGTTTTGCTTCAGGAGTTGACGCACAGAGTGTGAGGACTGCTGAGAAGCTGACGTCCGCTCTCAAGTTATCAGGCTTGATGTCAGTGACACAGGTGAGTATAGTAGGAGATTACCAACCAATACTGGTTACTGTGATGTTAGAACCGTTGTACAATTAGAGTTAAACCAAAATTTGGATCAAAAATATGTCTCACAGTCAAAAAAACCTTGAGAGATTTACCTGTCATGAGATGTATTATTCTGAAAAAAAATCTGCAATTGCAGAGAGAATTTTTGGAACAAATGGTATAGAAATTAGACTTTACTGTACATTTACTGGTAACTACCCGTGAAAAGAGGCTTTTTCCTTTCAGGCTGAGAGTTGAAACCAAGGCGGTGCTTTCCTGTCTGCTTCCGGTGCTCAACATCACATCCAGAACATTTTGAAAATAGGCATTGTTCTGCTTCTTATCCATGGTTTTTGTGCCAGAAGGAAGCCTCTTCTAAGGATGATGCACATGAAAGCTGGCAAACTGAAGACAAGCAAAAGAAGAACTTGGATTACTGGAACCATGTCCCCAGGTTTTTGCAATCTCAGGGTGTCTTAACACGACGTTGATTTTTGAATCAAGCTAATGGCAAGCTGAGAAAAGTATTCATCACAACCGCATATGCAACCCCCTAAACCAGGGGTGGGCAAACTTTTTGGCTCGGGGGCCACATTGATTTCTAAATTTGACAGGTGGGCCGGGTCAGCACAAGATACAGTACATATAAAAAACTGTATATGTTGACAGTCCATACCAAATATCAACAGAACAAAAGCATTAAAGTATTACCATACTTTTTTAAAATGAGAACAGTGAAACAAGTATGGTATATGTCCTGTATGAACGTCCAAGTATGTTAACAACATGTGTGACAACACAAGCAACAAAGTGCAACAATATATTGCCCAAAAACTGCAGCATACAGAACAGGTACATGACAAAATAAAACAAAGTTAGGACTATTTGCTACAAAATGAGACAAGTAAAAGACCTGGTGGCTTTCTTTCCACTCCCTCACTGTCTCGAACTTGACCTCCCCTCGATCACCACACAAGACAGCGTTGCTCAGTTGATGTCGTGCAACGAACTTTTGAACCCAGCCACGGGACGCTTCGAAGTCTTCGATGCCCATAGCGCTATGGAACTCGATTGCTCTCTTATTCGCGGTCCAGTTTGCGGTTTTGCAGTTTTTAGCACGATAACAGTCAAACCATTCCAAGAAACGTTTATTTACTCGACTGTCCGTCGAGCTGCACGCAATTCACTCCAAGCATGGAAATTGCCAGAATCGGACTGAGTAAGAATCGCATCCTTGGTTTTCAAAGTCTCGAAGATTTGAGTCTTTCCGACTTTATGCGGATTTGGTGGATTTCCGGCGTGCTCGTTTATGGGCTGAGGAATGACCACACGCACGCGTCTATGGTGTCAGTGACACAGAAAAGTGTAACAAATAGCATAATCTAATGCAGCATACATCAAGACAATTATTCTTGACAGAGCTCTGCGTCATCAACTGTTCCTAACCGCGAGGGTCGCGAGGCAGAGTGACAAAGACGCCTTTCCCTTGACCCACCTTTAATACAATTCAAAAAAGGGTGTGCCTATCTTTGTGTGTGTGTGTGTGTGTGTGTGTCAGGGGTGGGCAAACTTTTTAGCTCGGGGGCCACATTGATTTCTAAATTTGACAGGTGGGCCGGGTCAGCACAAGATACAGTACATATAAAAAACTGTATATGTTGACAGTCCATACCAAATATCAACAGAACAAAAGCATTAAAGTATTACCATACTTTTTTAAAATGAGAACAGTGAAACAAGTATGGTATATGTCCTGTATGAACGTCCAAGTATGTTAACAACATGTGTGACAACACAAGCAACAAAGTGCAACAATATATTGCCCAAAAACTGCAGCATACAGTACAGGTATTTGACAAAATACAACAAAGTATGGACTATTTGCCACAAAATGAGATGAGTAAAAGACCTGGTGGCTTTCTTTCCATTCACTCACTGTCTCAAACTTGACCTCCCCTCGATCACCACATAAGACAGTGTTGCTCAGCTGATGTCGTGCAACAAACTTTTGAAGCCAGCCACGGGACGCTTCGAAGCCCATCGCGCTATGGAACTCGCTTCCTCTCTTATTAGCGGTCCAGTTTGCGTAAATTTTTTAGCACAATAACAGTCAAACCATTCCAGGAAATGTTCATTTACTCGACTGTCTGTTGAGCCGCAAGCAATTCACTCTGAGCATGGAAATAGCCAGAATCGGACTGAGCAAGAATCGCTTCCTCGTTTTTCAAAGTCTCGTAGATTTGAGTCTTTCAGACTCCCAAGCGTCTCCTGAATGTTTCGTACTTTGTAACCCGCTTCGTTTAATCAGATACAATTCACTTTCTCTTCCGCGGCCATTACTGTTCCTCTTCCACTTAGACACGCTCACAGTTCAGTGAGATACAGTGCCGTGAAAAAATATTTGCCCCCTTTCCTCATTACCAATTTTAATATCACATAGATACAACCCAAGAAAATACAAAATGCAGTGTTGAAATGACAATTCAATATATTAAGGCACCCCCCCAAAAAAAAAAACCTTTCTGCCCCTCTGCGAAAAAGTAATTGCCCCCTGAACCTATTAATGGGTTGCGCCAACCTTGGTAGCAATAACTGAAATCAGGCATTTGCAAATAACTGGTGAGGAGTCTTTCACATCCCTGTGGAGGAATTTTGGATTTTTGGTTGAATTGCTTCAACCCCGCCATATTGAAGGGTTTTCTCGCATGAACTGCCCGTTTTAGGTCACAACACAGCATCTCAGTCAGATTCAAATCTAGACTTTGACTTGGCCACTCCAAAGCCTGCATGCATGTACAGCACAAACGTTCAAATGTTCAGCTGAATAAAAAGGCCACTAAGCTAAATTTTATTCTTCCAAAGTTTATTCGGCATTACATTAAATGGAATAAGGCTGCAATTAATCATTATTTTAATAATCGATTAATCTGTTGATCATTTTGTTTGTTGATGAATGAATTAATCAGATTAAGAAAAACAAGTTTTAATATCTATTTGTTTGTTTAAAAACAGGACATTACTTCGAATTGACAGTTCAGAAAATGAAAAATAATTACAATTATCATAAATGATTCAGTTATAATCGATTAGCTGTCGATGAGTCATGACAAAACCTACCAATGAATCAACTTGACCATTTAATGATGTTTTTATTGTCAGTATAAATCAATTTGAAGGGAATCTTCCTTCCAGGTGATCATGGCGGACCTTGGTATCAAAATGGGGGATAAGGTGCTGTTGGTTTGGACTCAGCCATCATCCCCTACCACTCTAAAACACTTTGCAGAGGATCTGAGGGCCATTGTAGGTGCAAATGGTAGCGTTTCAGTGGAAAATATGGAAATGTTCTTGCTGTGTAAGTATAACCTACAGTATGACTCTATTTTTGTCTGATTGTCATGTCACTCATAAGTTGAACATTTACCTTCTTCTCCTTAGCCTCCTATGCTGAATCCTCATTTGACTGGGTGCTCTCTTGCCTTCTGTCGGACAGCTTTTCCATCCACACTTCAGAGAATCTGGCAGAGATGGCCAGAGTACTCAAACCTGGTGGGAAGCTAGTTCTGGATGAACCCGTTACAGGTTAGATGCATTTCTCATGGTCTGCATTAAAATATAAGTATATCAATGTACAGTGGGGGAAGTAATTACTGTATTTGATCCCCATGTTGGATTGCTTATTGATTAGTAATACAGTAGTAGGTACAATATGAGTCAAAATGCATAAAAATATATTTGAGATAATTATGTACATACCGTATTGGCCCGAATATAAGACGGTGTTTTTTGCACTGAAATAAGACTGAAAAAGTGGGGGTCGTCTTATATTCGGCGTCTAGACATTATACCCATTCACGACGCTAAATGGCGCCAGATATTATTGAAGCGAATGCTGAACTTGACTCCCTGGGCCAAAGTGAACCCATCACGAAGAATAAAAATAAAAATAGCGGTAGCACGAAGAAGAAAAATAAAAATAGTGGTAATAAAGAAAAGAGAATACAATAATAGAAGCAGGGATGAGATTTTTCCGCTTTTTGGCGGAATTCCGCTTTTTTTCCAGTCAAAATGGACCTATTTTATATTGTTCCAAATCCGTAAAAAAATTCTGGGGGCGAGGGGCAGGGTCAGGGCTTGTCTTCGGCAGATTCGGGGCTCGTAATGTTTACAAGCAACGTTTGCAAGCATCCATTTTGAATCCTGTTTTCCAGGGGTGGGCAAACTTTTTGGCTCGGGGGCCACATTGATTTCTAAATTTGACAGGTGGGCCGGGTCAGCACAAGATACAGTACATATAAAAAACTGTATATGTTGACAGTCCATACCAAATATCAACAGAACAAAAGCATTAAAGTATTACCATACTTTTTTAAAATGAGAACAGTGAAACAAGTATGGTATATGTCCTGTATGAACGTCCAAGTATGTTAACAACATGTGTGACAACACAAGCAACAAAGTGCAACAATATATTGCCCAAAAACTGCAGCATACAGTACAGGTATTTGACAAAATACAACAAAGTATGGACTATTTGCCACAAAATGAGATGAGTAAAAGACCTGGTGGCTTTCTTTCCATTCACTCACTGTCTCAAACTTGACCTCCCCTCGATCACCACATAAGACAGTGTTGCTCAGCTGATGTCGTGCAACAAACTTTTGAAGCCAGCCACGGGACGCTTCGAAGCCCATCGCGCTATGGAACTCGCTTCCTCTCTTATTAGCGGTCCAGTTTGCGTAAATTTTTTAGCACAATAACAGTCAAACCATTCCAGGAAATGTTCATTTACTCGACTGTCTGTTGAGCCGCAAGCAATTCACTCTGAGCATGGAAATAGCCAGAATCGGACTGAGCAAGAATCGCTTCCTCGTTTTTCAAAGTCTCGTAGATTTGAGTCTTTCAGACTCCCAAGCGTCTCCTGAATGTTTCGTACTTTGTAACCCGCTTCGTTTAATCAGATACAATTCACTTTCTCTTCCGCGGCCATTACTGTTCCTCTTCCACTTAGACACGCTCACAGTTCAGTGAGATACAGTGCCGTGAAAAAATATTTGCCCCCTTTCCTCATTACCAATTTTAATATCACATAGATACAACCCAAGAAAATACAAAATGCAGTGTTGAAATGACAATTCAATATATTAAGGCACCCCCCCAAAAAAAAAAACCTTTCTGCCCCTCTGCGAAAAAGTAATTGCCCCCTGAACCTATTAATGGGTTGCGCCAACCTTGGTAGCAATAACTGAAATCAGGCATTTGCAAATAACTGGTGAGGAGTCTTTCACATCCCTGTGGAGGAATTTTGGATTTTTGGTTGAATTGCTTCAACCCCGCCATATTGAAGGGTTTTCTCGCATGAACTGCCCGTTTTAGGTCACAACACAGCATCTCAGTCAGATTCAAATCTAGACTTTGACTTGGCCACTCCAAAGCCTGCATGCATGTACAGCACAAACGTTCAAATGTTCAGCTGAATAAAAAGGCCACTAAGCTAAATTTTATTCTTCCAAAGTTTATTCGGCATTACATTAAATGGAATAAGGCTGCAATTAATCATTATTTTAATAATCGATTAATCTGTTGATCATTTTGTTTGTTGATGAATGAATTAATCAGATTAAGAAAAACAAGTTTTAATATCTATTTGTTTGTTTAAAAACAGGACATTACTTCGAATTGACAGTTCAGAAAATGAAAAATAATTACAATTATCATAAATGATTCAGTTATAATTGATTAGCTGTCGATGAGTCATGACAAAACCTACCAATGAATCAACTTGACCATTTAATGATGTTTTTATTGTCAATATAAATCAATTTGAAGGGAATCTTCCTTCCAGGTGATCATGGCGGACCTTGGTATCAAAATGGGGGATAAGGTGCTGTTGGTTTGGACTCAGCCATCATCACCTACCACTCTAAAACACTTTGCAGAGGATCTGAGGGCCATTGTAGGTGCAAATGGTAGCGTTTCAGTGGAAAATATGGAAATGTTCTTGCTGTGTAAGTATAACCTACAGTATGACTCTATTTTTGTCTGATTGTCATGTCACTCATAAGTTGAACATTTACCTTCTTCTCCTTAGCCTCCTATGCTGAATCCTCATTTGACTGGGTGCTCTCTTGCCTTCTGTCGGACAGCTTTTCCATCCACACTTCAGAGAATCTGGCAGAGATGGCCAGAGTACTCAAACCTGGTGGGAAGCTAGTTCTGGATGAACCCGTTACAGGTTAGATGCATTTCTCATGGTCTGCATTAAAATATAAGTATATCAATGTACAGTGGGGGAAGTAATTACTGTATTTGATCCCCATGTTGGATTGCTTATTGATTAGTAATACAGTAGTAGGTACAATATGAGTCAAAATGCATAAAAATATATTTGAGATAATTATGTAAATACCGTATTGGCCCGAATATAAGACGGTGTTTTTTGCACTGAAATAAGACTGAAAAAGTGGGGGTCGTCTTATATTCGGCGTCTAGACATTATACCCATTCACGACGCTAAATGGCGCCAGATATTATTGAAGCGAATGCTGAACTTGACTCCCTGGGCCAAAGTGAACCCATCACGAAGAATAAAAATAAAAATAGCGGTAGCACGAAGAAGAAAAATAAAAATAGTGGTAATAAAGAAAAGAGAATACAATAATAGAAGCAGGGATGAGATTTTTCCGCTTTTTGGCGGAATTCCGCTTTTTTTCCAGTCAAAATGGACCTATTTTATATTGTTCCAAATCCGTAAAAAAATTCTGGGGGCGAGGGGCAGGGTCAGGGCTTGTCTTCGGCAGATTCGGGGCTCGTAATGTTTACAAGCAACGTTTGCAAGCATCCATTTTGAATCCTGTTTTTTATCGCGAAGCGTTAGTTTGTCGTTACTTCCTATATGGGCTAAAACCAATGTCTTACTTGTTGTGATTGGTCACTATATCGGGAAATGCAAATCACAACCAATCTGTGTTCGCCATCCTAAACCCCTTTCTCGCGAATGCCGAATGTTATCGAGACACGTGACGAAGCTAAAGTGCGTCAGATAGATGCGGATCTGAAAAACACGTTTCGATGGGACTGGTGGGATAGAACTAGCTGACGGTGTCCCCAGTAGGAAACAGTAAAGAAGAACCATTGTGCTTGTGTCGGATTTCGTGAAAAAGCTCGATGTCGCCGGTAAAGCTCTGTGTACAGTGTGTGACGATGTCATTCGATACGGATCGAGAGGATGGAAAGCTTTACAGAGTCATGCAACCTCGGTGAAACACTGAAAAGACATTTCTTCTGAAAAGTAACTACTCGATGCTCCAGGCTGTCGCAAAGCGCTTGAGGTGCTTTTCGACAGCCTGGAGCATGTGTAAAAACAAGAGGAGTTGGCTAAAAAGAGAGTGGAAAAAGACAGAGAGGACAGATAAGCTTTTAGCGCTTGCTAAAAAGCTTAAAATGAAGAGAAAATAAAGTATTCTACCTCATGAAACTGTATTTTGTTGTATATACTGTAAATAGACATCCAC